TGGTCCTAGTTGGGGCAAACAGGGCTAGGTCTACGGGACATTCTTTCACTCCGTTCGGATTGAAGAACCCTTTCCGCTCGCAAACATGAATGCGAATCAGGTTGCCTTGTTCCTTGTCATACACCCAACTGTCTCTCTTCGGCGCTTCACCGTTCGGTTCTGCACCTTTTGCAGGGCACGCACTCAGAGTGCGGTCTGCTACACTGCCTTCCCCGTTCGGGTTCGCGCAATGCGATGGGAATTGCAAGCACACGCATGCATATGTCCTTTCCATGCACTCTTCGCAGAAGGTCGAGCACTGGTGAGTGGCACATGCTGCAACACTGAGGCGTCCCACAATGTTTTCGGCTTGTGTGGCTATCTTATTTACACTTTCATCGTGCATTTGCAACGTATGAGCATCGCCATACGGCTCTGCATCATGATGCTGTGATTTACATGTCTTTGCAACACTTTCGTTGTGTCGCTGCAACACAAGAGCGTCGCCGTTCGGCTCAGTCTCGGAGTGTTGTGTCTCACATGCCACAGGTATGCTTGCATTTCCGGCTTGATCAAGGCCTATGCTAAACATCTGCACGTCATTCTTCACACGGCTGGCGTACCACCTGTTTTCAAGCGGACACCAAATGCAACACTTCCTATGGTTAAGAGCGATGTAGGGAACCTTTCCATGTTCCCACACAAACGTCCTTCCCTTGCTCACTTGCCGCCCAATTGACATTGCCAATGGGCAGTCCTTCAGCAGATGAACCTGCATGCTTCCCAGTGCTTGGGTCCACAAGTTCACAGCTTCGCTTGATTGTTGGATACCGCCACCTGTGAGAAACTTCACAGGTCTGTCCAACATACCCTTCCACATCTCTAGCAACTCGGGGGCGATGCCTTGCTCAAGAATGGCCCGTTCGGATCCAATGTCATGTGCAGCACCGGTGTCCCCGATTAGCTCCAATGAGATGTTATGGAAATCATCTGCCATGTTTGCCAACATGCACAAGTTGTCTTCTGAGAGAAACTCACCCCCGGTAGTTGATGGTTTCCAATCGTGCAAGGACGCACCTATGTTCAAGATATTGTCAAACTCGGCGGCCCCTACGACACCTGTGTGTGGCATTTGTGCGATACTTGTTGTCATGATGCCCTCGATGCACGCAAGCATCAGCGGTATGCTCACTCTGAGAAAGATTGGGATTGGCAATCGCACTACTTTCCCACATCTTCAACATCTTTCCTATGACTCCGTCTTTGCTGTGGTTCGGGCAGCTGGGATCACTCGAGCCTTCCTGTCGGGTATGCTCTGCGTTAGCGCCGGCAGGCTGTGACGCCACGGCCGTTGCTGTCGCCACTGCTGCACTCTTCCCTCCAGGATGGCTTTTACCCTTGCTTTTACCCTTACCCTTACCCTTGTCATGACCCTTGCCATCACCCTTCTGCTGAGACTTCACAAAGGCCTCTTTCGCCTGTGCTGAGCCCGGCTGGCCCACATGCTCGTGCCTACACTTATCGCTATAGTTGCATAGTCCTGCGGCATGCATGGCACAAAGGAGCTTCCTGCCGGGTGGCTTGGTCTCTGCTGGCAATGCTGGGTTTCAACCTTTCGGCTTCGATTTCCCACCTTTCGCCTGGGAGGCGTTGGTAGAGCTCGATGCGGGAGCGTCATCGCTCTTGGCCTGCTTGGCTTGCAGTCCGAGGCTAGGCCTTGGTCCCTCTTTCAGACCTTTAGTGAGGTTGTCATAATTCTGGTCCTCCCTACGCTCCTTCGACTCGTCCTGAATGGCATTCCACAACCACTCGAAACCGCGTCTTTTGGACGATGGGGAAAGATCTCTCACTTTGTTGGTCACTCTTGACAAGCAGAAAACCCGCTTCACCTCATGCCACAACCAATGGAACAATGTCTTGCCGTTTGGTCTGTCTTCAGGCCTGAGCCCATTGCGGATGTAATGTGCCCTACTGATGAAGGCTTGCACATTCGCTGCAGAGGTGCCCTCTAACTTCAAGTTGAGCAAATGCATCTGGTTTAGAGCAACCCCTTGCGATGCACCTATGGAGAAATGACAGTAAGTCAAATTCAACATTGGCGCTACTCTGGGTCCCTCACCTTTCAATGCACAACTTTCAACGTATGAGTTGAGTTCATGCGACATTTCGACAGTGCATCATCTCAGCAATCTGTTGGTCACGCTTTTGGATGGCTTCCGAAGCTTCTTGATGGATTCTGGCGACACCCACTTCGGCTTGCACTTGGGTCTGTTGTTTTTCCCTTTCAGCTTGAGTGACAGCATCTTTAGCTGATAATGCCATTTGCATAGCTTCACCTTGCAATTGCTGCCTCTGTTCACTCAACGCTGCAGCTACATGGGCCTGTATGAGTCTCTCAATCTGCTGTGGGTCATGCGTATAAACTACATTAGCAGTTCGCTGAATAGCATTATATTGCTGCTGATGCACATTGGTACTCTCTGCATTGACCTGGGTCAAATGTTGAGTAGATGCATCAACTTCCATATGGTGCAAATTTGCTGATTCATCTCTATTCATGACGTTTTTCTGAGATATTGAATGGCCTGTGTTGCCTGTTCCCTCGTGCAATCCACTGCTTTCGGCGGGCTCACCTGCGATTTGCAATTGATCACTTGGTACGGCATCTATGAACCGTCCTGTATGATGAGGTGGAGAAGTCATTAGGGCTGCTTCACCTGGGCTGTCAGTTGAAGGGAAGGATGATAAGGAGGTTTCTGAATCCTTTATGCTGTGCTATTGGGCTGTTAAACCTAGCCTTTGTCTGGCCGAGTCACCACCTCTTTCTTTACCTAAGCGTTTGGGACTTTCCTCGGCGCTTTGCAGTGTTCTCGCAGCTCGGATCCTCTCCACCAGCAGCTGTATGCTCGTTGACGCAGAGTTCGTGCTCTTGACCTGCACCGTCCACGGGACCAGACTCGGGTCCAAAAGCTTGTTCCACCGCTCCTTCAGCTCGTCCAGAATATCCCGGGCGTCGTCGCAGAGGGCGGTTGCTCCAAGCTCAAGAACGCGCTGTGCCTTTGTCTTGTTCGAGCGCCCGTCACGCCGGCGTGTCGAACGCCACGATTTACGGAACACGAATTCGATAGGCAAATGTGACAATGGTCCTGACACCCACGCGTCCCGGGTTGTCCGCTCCCGAAATGCTGCGCCCACGTACGACAGGCACCGGATGGCAACTCCCGTATCCTCCAACCGCTTCACCACCTCTACCACAGGTGCCGGAATCACCCAAGTGTTCCAGGGTGTTGTGGTAATCCAATATCACCAAAGGCTGTGAATTGACTGATGGCGCTGGCACTGGCACCGGAACAACCTCAAGCGTTTCCACGTCTGAGCTGATGTCCTCCACGGGCGAGTCTGCTGCCAAGTCAGGGGTGTCCGGCTGTCCCGTCGATTCAAGAATCACCGGATCTTCGACAATGTCTGTCTGTCCGGTTTGCTGATCTCGAAAAGCGTCCAACTCCGCCAAACACCAATGACTCTCGTCCTGTGACGTTCTGAGCCAAGCGTAGCTGTGATTGCCACTTGTTGCCCCGTCCGCACGCCAAGGATGTACCTCGAAAACGTTATCAAGCGTCCGATCAAGATTCCAAATACGAGATCCAGTTGTAGTTCGCGGCGTGAAAGTCCCTCAAACCCAGAACTTGTCAAGATGCAATGGCAGCAACGAAACAAGACACTAACCTATTTCAAAGCCAAACACCCACCGGGACCTTTTAAGGGAATCGCCCCGACCCGGGGAGCGCGCTTTTTCTTGAGCCAAATCATGCAAGGTCCGCAGTTCACGGAAGGAATGCCCTACTGTAGGGAACCCCTATGTCCTATCGATTCCCGTTGATGCAAGTAACCGCAAAGTTATCATGATGTAATGCCCACACGAAGTGTATTGCCGTTCCTGTGGGTATGCATTTATTTGAGAAAGAGTGCGGGTATTTCCACTGGACATTGGACCATGATAGTGGCGCTTCAGGAACGATAGGGTCGACAAAAAACAGATACCTACAAAGCTGCGATTTTTGAGCTGGAGCTGCGGAAGTGTACTTCGCGCACTAGACTTGTTCTGCAAGGTGGCGATTTCGAGCTGGAGCTGCGGAAGCGTACTTCGCGTGCCGCACTTGTACACAGCTTCCAAAGCAAATCAAACAAATTGCCGTTGTTTCAAAGCACATATTTGGGGGAAAGGCTATTACTTGCAACGGCCGGAGGTCAACTCCAATTTTGAGTCGAGGCTTTTCCATCTAAGCTAGATTTGACACCCACTCAGACGCCCAAACTTGGAGAATCCGATCACCTGGGTTACCTGCTTGCCGTGGCTTGCCTGGAACTAGGGGTCACCGGCATTGCCTGAACTCAAATTTGCCGATCTCGGGCTATCTTTCTCTCCAAGCCCAAGACTCACGAATCCCTATCATGGTTGTCTAAGGGGGTCACTTGCTCTCCGAATCGCTCGCGGATATTTTTTGGGCGACAAGCAGCAACGCGGGAGATTCTGAGAACTTCTCCAGTGTTCTTCCAGGGCAAATCAACAAGTACGGGGCATGTGGCACCCAAATCTCTGTGTGGAATATCCTAGATTTGGTGATCAGGCTGTGCGTGCTGCTTCTACCAAACAAATCCAACACACACACACACACACAATCTCATGTCTCAGCTGTGCGTCTGACGCCAGGTGAACCATGGACCACAACACAGAGCATTATGACACCCAAATGTCTTCCAGCTGCTTGCGTGGAGAGTCCACCTAGAAGAAAATGCTCTTTTCTCACACAGAAGAACCATGGCCGATTCCAAAATGGCAAAATGGCCACAACAAATAAAGCTAGCCCTGAGCATAGGGGCAATTGAGTGACCCCCCCCCCCCCGGCCCCAAAAGATAGGCAATGGTCCAGGCCCCTGCAATGGTATGCGTTGCATCTCTTTTCCGCCCAGTAGATAAGCTGCCTGCTTAGCAGTCCCTACTCTCATGCCAGCCAGGCGTCTAGGGCATCCTTCTCCGTGTCTTTGACGCGCTCACCTGGTCGTGCAACAGCCCATCCCTCTCAACATATCGAAATGGATGCCGCTGATGCAAAACACAAAGACTATCTGTTGGAAGGGAAGTCCGCGCATTCCTTTGTTTGCAAGAAGTAGATACAAATATCCACGCACCAACATTGCGGCCATACTGTGCGTGCAGAGACTCACCACAATGTGCAAATGTGCAAATAGCAAAGAAAGATCTAAGACATGAAGTCACACGAACATTTGGGGAAGGAATGTCCCACGTCCCACAGGTTGATCCTTTTCTTCTCCCCCAAAAAGGACCCATTGAAAGACAAAGCCAAAAAGAAAGCCACAGATGCACGACCGGGTTTTCGACGCGCTTGCCGCGGGCGACGTCAATGGGTACAATGGGACCCCAAGGACCTTGCCAGGGACAAGGGATTGTGCGACACCAAATCAAAGGCTTGATCACTTTCGACATCCAGTTTGCGTTGATCTTCAAAGAAGAGCTGGGCAGTTGAATGGGTCTCTACTTTTGGAGGTCAAATAATAAAGGGGGCACTGGAGGGGCTCAAAGCGAACCATTCAGCTGGTGCCCAATGCAAAATTAAACGGAACCCACCGGTGGGTCCTCCAAATGAGGGGAAATTCACTTCTTCCAGTTGCCTCAAAATGCCAAAGAAATCACATATCTACCTGTCATGATATGTCCCTTTAGAACCAACTGAAAAAAAACAAGTTACAAACCACACGCAGCAAGGTGGTGTAGAGGGTTCCTTATATATATATATATATATATATATGTTTTTCCTTGAATGCAACTATATATATATATATATACCCTTGAAACGTCACCCTGGAAAGCAAACTTCGGTAAATCTGGCCCAAGCTGCCCAAAATAATGTGTTTGCCAATCCTTAAACGGGGACCCCCGCTAGTTGCCGTCGGCAAAAGCATAACCAAGGAAAGGGTACCAGCTCCAAAAAACATCGGGCCAATACGGGCGTGTCTTTCTTTTGACGGTACATGTTTGTGTGGCTTCGAAGGGAAAAAACAAAGGAAAGCCAGCAATTTTTGTTGGGGGGGAGGGCCTAAAAAAGACACACCCAGATAGAAATTCGGAAAATGCTGGCTTCACCAACATGTGAATTTTGAAATTGGCCGAACAAATGATGTACAAACTTGAACCACCAAAAAACACCAACATATATATATATATATATTTGTCAAGTTTAACGGCACCATGATGTGTTTAAAGGGAAACCGAAGGGAAACCACCACTTAAGTCAGCCTGTGAAAAGAAAGGCCTGCTTTTGAAGCCTCGTGACATGCAGTACCGCCCCTTGGGGGGTCCAAACAGAGTGCCATATTTTCCACAGCTCGACATATGGCCATGGGTCAAAAACCCGTACCCGCTAGTGAACATCCCAATCCCGACTAAATAGACTAAAGTGAGTGGCGCACCCACCCGAAAATGGTATGATTGGTTTTGACCCACAGTCATATGAAATAAGTTACACTTAGACGCTACAAGAACCCCCTAGCGCGCAGCGTGGACGCAAACATGTTTCCAGCCCCGTACATGTTTGCACGCGCGTTTCTACAAAAAGCCGTCCCTGATACGAGTCGGAATCAACACCTGGCATATAGAGGGACCCAAAAACATGTGGAGAGTCAAAAGGGCGGAGATTTGTCCCTTGCCTTCATCTATGGTTGAAACTGTCCCTTGCCTTCATCTATCCGGGTTTTGATTGCACGTCAGTGGATATGTGGTTTCTTCACTTTGACTCCTTGCGCTGATTGTCAACCATGCCCCAAGCGGGTGCGAATTATTCGGGACCCTTTGGTGGACATCAAAATCAATCGGACATTTTTCATATCCACCCAACCATTGAGAGCTCCAGCTCTGAAAATACGCGGCCACTCCGCACCGTCGGATTCTGGGGGTCCCAGCGCAGCCCCTCCAGCTCTGCGAGCTTGGGCACCACCCCGTAGAACCGCTCACGGCGCCGTTGCCTGGGGCCATGTGGGCGTGCCTCGTTTTGGGGGGGGGAGGGGGGGGGGGGTACAGGGGAAACCCAGAGCGAAACCGCTTCCTCGGGTTGCTTCCCCATTTCTGTCTAGAAAAAACGAATCTTTCTAGAAAACCACCCAAAACCCGGGGAAAACAGCTGGTTCTTGAAAAGAGCGAATTTGGGGCTCGTTGCACGTCCCAATCGCAACACCCAGCGATACCCGCATGAACATGGCAGAAAACCGGGAGGGCACGAACATCGTCTTCCGGACACTGTCAAGGTTGCATGTTCGCGACCGGGAAAGGCTGAAGGGGAAACGCAGAGTCAACTTTGCGAAGCCAGGGGATGTCTCCAAGGCGTCTGGGCGGTGCCTTCCTCTTGAAACAAATACACAGACACACACTCTTGGTTGCAACAAATCCTACAAATTCAATGTCCCGGAAACGATACCACCCGAAACAATCTCCATGTTTCCAACATGTGGGGGAGGGGGTAGGCAAGGGTGCAAACCAAACTGCTTCACAAAGGACATAAGATTCGTCAAATGGGATAGAGTTCTCCCGCTACCTCTTGATCACAGTCACCCCATCCAAGTCATAGCAAAAGGGAAGCAACCACAAAACTTGACGTTGACATCCACAAAAAACAAAACACCATCCGGAGGTACTACTTGAGTGTCTGTGTTTGTCTTCTCGCCCCCGCAAGATGCCAATCTTTGAAGTAAGCTGCTGATCGAACCACTGGCCAATGCTCTCCGCGCATTTGTCGGCGGAGTAGAAACCCTCCGTCTCCTGGGCGGCCATTGCATGTGGTCCAAGTGAGCCCCGGAAAATATTATGTACGAGTCGTTCCCCAAAAGGACACGGGAGAATTAAGTTGACCCCCTACCAAAGCTGTTCGCTTTCTGCTTCTTTGTGAGGAAGTGTGCGTCATGAGTTAAATGCCTCCAGGTGAAATCAAGGATCAGGGTCCATTCCTAATTGGCCTTTGGTAGGGGAAGGCCAGTACAAAGTGACTCCCCCACTAGCTGAGGGAAGGTACCTGGTAGACTGGCTGCCTTGGGGGAACAGCGGAAATACATGAAAAAGTGGCAACTTATCCATGTACTATCCTGCATTCAACACGTATTGTGATAGTATGGAATATAGATCAAGATGTATGTATCTGTACATATGCGGACCCTTTGTGGTTTTCCCTAGCAAAAGATACAACTTGTTGCTCATTAAAGATCATTAGCTCCAGGTTTCAACTTGACTTTCTTGGCCAATGGTTCCTGAACACCTGGGATGTCCCAAAATCGACTGCGAGCAAGGCAAACCGAACCGCACATCCATCAGGTCCGTCCAGCAACCAACACATACGGTCTGGCGTTGTGGGGTATCCGAATATTTCAATGGCTGACAAAAACGATCTTTCAATCAATTCTTTCTGTGCCTCACTTGCTTGGCCAAGGTGAAAGAAAGACACCCTTTTGGTGTTGTGTTGACTTAGAGAGAATCTCATCACACAATAGGGAGCACAGGAACTGGGCATGAATGGCATTAGCAATAGTATTCCGGAGCCCTGCATTCGCACTCACTTATTGCAGCCCAAGTCTCTGTCCTCCTTCGAAAACAACCGTTTCACTTATTTGGCCCTCGTGCGTCCAGTCACTTTCTAGAAGCCCGCAATCCCCCCAAACAACACACGCACGAGCCAACAATTAAAGAAAAGCAAGTTGGATTTTGGAGGAGCAAGAAGTAATCCTATCCGAACAAAAACTTAAACAGTTCTAACAGGTTAGATTTGAAAGCAAAAGGCTGGATTTGGACTAGTAAGAACTCATAGAACTGATGCCCTCCCAGCTTTTTTTTCCCGAGCTGCCCCAAGGTTGAAAACAGCGCCCAGCACTGGCACACCCTTGGCGAGGAAGTAGCTCGCATTGAGGCTGAAGCTGTCGATCGCAGAGCCTGGAGATCTGCAAGATTGTAGAGTCCACGTATTGTAAGGGCTTCCATCGAACAATGGGGTAGTGGGGTATCGAAAAACCTGTGCATGTCATGATGGAGGATCGTATCTGGCCCAGCTCCTTTTTCTTGGGGAAGGGGAGATCTTCAGCAAACAGGGAAGCAAGTGGGAGATGCAAGTGCATGCAAGTGCCATGAGTAGGGACAGCGGAAAGGGGGGCGTGTGAGATTGTCAGGGGTTTGTTCATGACCAACCTGAATTGCCCAGTTGACCAGTTCTTGTGGGCAATCACCAAAACGTCACAGTCTTTGTTTGGCACCAACACTCCTCCAACTTAGAGAGGTGAGGAACGGCGCGAGCACAATTCAGGGCTGGAGACAAAGAATGGAATCTCAAGATGAGAATCTCAAACCATTTGAAAACCCGTCTGTCAGCCTCATGTGATGACTGGTGGTTTAGTGGTTGCGGCCGGTGGTTCAAACAGAACGGGGCTCCACCGGTCAAAACCACCATTAAGATCATTCAGTGTAATGTATATGTGTATGTATATATATGGTACCCCCCCCCCCCCATGGACCCTGGTTTGGTGCGGTTGACCTGTATTTTCCAGTGTTTTATGCTTCTTTTTGCTTCTTGGATTTGTGTCAAGATTGGGGGGAGGGTCGTACATGTATATGATACGCATGCATGCATACAGATGTGATAAAAGCAATGACATCAGCACCTGCAATCTGAAAGAGTTTGAAGGCATCCAAGAATACAAGAACAACTCAGACATTCTTAAACATTATTAAAACAATTCTGGGATTCAAGATTCAAGATTCAAGAATCTGAGAAAATATTTTCTGGGAATCTTGAATCTTGAATCCCAGAATTGTTAAAAATTATTAAAACATCTGGATTCAAGATTCAAGATTCAAGAATCTCAGAAAATATTTTCTGGAAATCTTGAATCTTGAATCTTGAATCCCATAATTTTTAATAAGTTTTAAAAATTCCAGGGTTGTCCCAATACTCTCGGTGTTCAATAAGATTCTCGGAAAAGTTTTCCGTGAAATACTTCAATCCAGTGGTAACGGATGTTCGAGGTGATAGAACAACTTGAACATTTTAGGGGTTGACCAGGATGGATGATTCTCAGGAAAGTGGTGGTTTGTGGGCTCCTCAATATTGAATCCCCAATCCAGTGGTAAAGCACTTCCAAGTGTTAGAAGAACTTGAATGCTATTTGGGTTTGGCCGGGATTGACAATTCTCAGGAAAGTGTTCTGTGTAATCTTCAATATTGAATCTTCCATCCGATAGTAGCAAATGTTCAAGTGCTTAGCGATCCAGTGGACACACTTTCAAGTTATTGGTTAGACAAACTGTCAAGTGCTTTTGGTGAGCTTCATGTCAGCTATGCTCATGTTGACCCCTTTCTAGGAGGTAAACAAAGGCAGGTGCAACGCTCAAAAATACTGCGTTTTCCAGTATTTTATGAGAAGGCGCAGGATCATTGCGGGTACTATATATGTGTGTATGTATGTGTATATATAGATATACATATGTATGTACGTTCACACACCGTCCCCCACCCTCTTCAACTACCTGTCCACATTTGCTCATCTACTACCTCCACCTTTTGACATAGAATTAACTTTCCTGCGCAAATAGGACTTTAAATACAACGGTTTAGCTAGAATCCCTGTTTCGAGATAGTTTTAGATTTTGAACCTCTCTTCCCTTGAAATTTCCCTTTGGAACACCGTCTAACAAGTTCAATGTCGGACCTTTCTTATGCTACAAAAGGGCCAGAATGTAAACAACACAAATCCTATTTTTAATTTCCAAATGTTTAGCCATATTTAATATGAATTATATTTGAGATGTAGTCTCTATTCACTTGATATTATCAAAAGCAAATTGAGTTGTGTTCGTCTTAGATTATACTTACCACTTGGAATATATTTGGGAAAAAAAAATCCATCTAACTTCTTGTGTTATAGATTAGTTGGAGTTTAGCCGAAAATATATATTTACATTTTCATGTAGCTGCTATTTGGAGAGGATTTGCTTGTTTAAGCTGTAATTGAACATAAACACATTTTGAAAACTATATCCATACTAAACTATATTCAAAATTCCAATTCTAGTTGAAGTAACATCTTATGTGCAAAGGGTATCATACTGGGACATTGTGGAGGACTCCGGGCTCCAAATTATCACGCTTTGGGGACCCACAATTGGAAATTTCGAGAATATAAATTTGGAAATTCTAGATTTGCCATCCCCAAAAGGCAGTAAAACCAGGGTCCATGGGGGGGGGGGTTTGCATATATATATATATATGATATGGGTGTTACTTTTTTGATGGACCCCCCAAAGTTCCTTGCGGTTTCCCTTTGAAGCCCACAGAAAAGAGCAATTACCCTCAAAAAAGGCACACTCATATGAGTTTGAGGAATTTGGCAAACACTCACCTGCAGGCTGCTCGCCCATCTCAATTTCAATTCTTATACCATTACCCTAGGCTTTACCTCCCCATTCCATGGCAGGTGCCACGACCCAGAAACACCGTATGGTAGCCCGGGGATTCTTCCTGCCATTCGCAGAAAGCGACAACACCAACCTTTTTCCAAGCTTGCGTGGTACCCACAACTCGCAAGGAATGGCAAAGGGCGCCCCGGTGTTTCGGTTTGGGTTGGGCCCGGGGCCCCAACAAATCTGTTTTGAAGGAGTTTTCAACAGACCTCATTTGAGTAGCCGGTGATATTACCACCAGAAACTAACAGTTCACCACCAACAATTCAATGCTCATCAACCTGCAGAACAAAGAAGGATCATCAAAAGCAAATAGCCTGCCCAGTGCTTCCAGTTTCTATAGGGAACCAGGGACAACCATTTAGAGGTAAACACACCTAGAGACAGAAACAGCTACGAGCACTGGGCGCACTATCCGCTCAGACCCGGTTGCCGGCATCTGGGCTTCCGTGCCCACTCCGGACTTACCTCGGGAAAAGATCAGCGGGCCATGGGTTCGTCAGCCCTAACCAGTTCCCCCACATTGGCGCCAGGGGTACCTGAAAATACTTGGTTGGGCCCTTGAACCAAAAGCAAGTAATTGCCGCGCCCCACGAAAAGGAAGAAAACACTAAACCGTGGCCCCACGGTTTGTCAGCTTCCTAGCAACTGATTCCCTCTACTGGAACCCTGTGGCGCCAGCGCTATGCCACAAGACAAGCAACATCGCCTGTGGCGGGAAGGCATGGTGCGAAATCCAAAGTAAAATGCAGCAGTTTGGCAAGCCAAACAAAACACATAGATAACAAAAGAACCCACACCGGCAAAGGTCGCGATGTTTCCGGCCTTAAACATTGGGATGGCGCTGAAGGGATTCTACTTCCATTGGAATCCATGTGTTGCATCACACAGAGCTTGTTCAAACACATGTCCAGGCGTGCTGCCACCTGCGCTCTGACAAAACCCTCTCGCTCAAAAAGGAAGTAGTCGGTAAAACCAGGAGGCCTTCACTCTCAGGGGCCAAGGGCACCTGTCTGGAAGAAGGCTCGTGAACATGGCCTTCCAAGTGTGCTCCGGTCCCTTCTACTTATGCGTTCGGCTAGAAACCACCCAGACGTTTTTACAGGCGCAGTGCACCCCAAATCACTCCCCCCTGCAACCTGCCGGCTGTGCGCAGCGTGCCAAAGGGCTTCTTCCGCATCCGCCGCAGCACGAAACTCAAAAACTAATTCAACACTCCCAGTTGTGTTCTTTGCTCTTCAAAGGAGTCTTAAGAAACCTGCTCTGCAACTTTTCCGCTTCTCTGGCGGCCCACTAAAACGTGCGGGAAGATCAGGGTGCTCCTTTTTGCCGGGGGTGAAGCTTGGCGTGCCGACCTACAGGTTTAGGCAGGATTCCATTTTTGGTTACTCGCCGAAGGATCAACACCCAAACGTTCATGTGAACCACCCCCCCAACAAATGGAACCCAGTTGCCTCTAGATAGATTTACCAAGGTTTTACATGATAGTTTCCCCTGGATGGCGAAACTTTAAAGATCTGCTCATAAAGTTTGGCCGTGGGGGGACGTGAGCAACGGAGAGAACAAATTACTCGTTTGCTCGAATAGACGTGGCACTGGAAGGATACTTTGCACCACACCACGCAGCACCGTGCTGCATGTACCCCTGCAAAAAATCCAAAAGGAGTCAACAAGCAATCAAGAAAGAGGCAAGTCCCCCGCAAGTAGCAGTTTGAAACACGAGGAAGCCAAAGCAATCCAATCCACTGCAACCCAAGTTCCTACTTTTGGGTATGTCTCAAAATAGGGTCTTCCCTTTGTTCCATTCAACCAAGCGCTAAAATGGTACCAACTCTAAAACAAACACAAATACATATGTGTATACATATATATATATATGGGTGTCTTTTTTGAGGGTACCCTGTTTTGCGGCTCTGAAGGGAAACCAAAAGGACAACCACCTATTTTCGGGGGTGCCCTAAAAGGACACACCCATACTACAAAAACATGATCTTACTTGTAGTTTTGATTGGTGGAGCCCCTTGCTGAGTTGAGCGTAGCCCTCGCAACTCGCAACCAAAAAACAAGTCCAATAAGCCAATACCCATTTGGGTATATCTCCTTTCGGACCCCCAAACTGGTGGGTTCTCCTTTCGTTTTCCCTTTCAAACCCCAGACAAGGGCACTCTCAAAAAAAGACAGAGATTTGCAGATTCCCAAGTAAATGACCTTTGTCATGGCTTCCGCTCGTTATACCCCCGAAATCGGTGAGCTCGCTATAAAGTCGACAAAGGGATCTGAGACGCCCAGCGGCCATGGCAAAAAAGTGCATCCTTTTTTGCTTGACTTTCAACGGGAAACCCTTCCCACCCAAAAAAAACAAGTTGAAGAAAGAGTTGGCAGCACTGGGCCACCAGAAGAAATGAGCCGAGGCACACACCAAAAGCACCGGCGCCCGCGAGGCTTTGGCCACGTCCGCGTTGTCCACGCCCACCACGGAGCCCACCGATGGGAAGCCCACGCCATCCACCACGACCTTCGGGTTCCCAGGTTGAAGGTCATGGCTGGGCTCCCAAAAAGTGGCACAGCTTTGTTACGCTCTTCTTGGAGCCTCAACAAAAAGACACCAAGATAAGGTTGGCTTCGGGCTGGGCTCTTTTACCGTTAGTCTACAGTCTAAGGTTGGTTTAGGGTTGGTCTAAGGCCTACAGTCTAAGGTTGGTTTAGGGTAGGTGTAAGGATAGTGAAGGGTAGGGATACTTGGTTTGTCTTGTTGTTGTATGGGTACCCTATTCAGATTGGCTTTCAAGGAACAAAAAGGAACACCAAACCATTTGGGGGCTCCCATTCCACAAGGCACTGCCTGCGATCTGAGAAAAAACGTGTGCATGTGGCAGAAAACTACGGTGTTATGAAAACAGGTTCTACACCCCACATATGTAGGCTATAGAGTGGCTGTGCATCCCATTGAACCCTTGGGGGGCACTGGTTTATGGGTAGTGGACACCATCCCAGAGAGTTTGTCTGGAATGAAGCACTGCATGTGTGACATGGTGGGTGTGTGCCCGGGAACAGTGAACAAGCAGGGGGACAAAGAGAGTGTGGATGAGCAAACCATGCCCGACGGGAAGCAGTTTGTGTCTGCGCGCGCGGGAACAGAAGGAACAGCTGAACTGACCCAGAACTGTGTTTGCGGGCTGGGTATGAAGAACAAATCAAGGGTTGAATCGCAATAATGATGCATAGCATGAGCTGTGACAACGGCTTTGGGATCCTCATTCCATTTTCGGCTACTAAATGCCGTTCACATGTTGAGTTGGAGAAATGTATGGCACCTGAAAGTTGGATATGGGTCCCGTTTGGATGAAGCTCACCACACGAAACCAGAAGTAAATTGGACCTCCGCACTGTTGACAACCCTGTACCTTCCGTACTGTTTGGTGCCAATGGGGGGGGGGGAAGGACCATTTCCGTTTCCCTGCAAATCCGACAGGAGAAACAAACTACCCTAAAGTGTCGTGTAGGTAGTCTGCACAAAACAGTGATCCCACAAATATTCCCTCAAGTTTGTGAAGGGGCTCTTATTTTAATCACGCACTCCTGAAGCAAAAGCAACACATCTGCCAGTTGTTGGCACTCCCGACACCTGAAACCAGGGATCCCCAAGTGGGCCCTTGGCGGCATAGGCAGAACTGCGCGCGAGCGCGTGCTCGGGCCCCTGCCACCCTACGGTTGTGGCACATGGAGGCCACGCGCTGCTCAATCCTGAGCCCAAAAGAACCGAGTCCCGCCCACTCGGCTTTTGTTTCTCAGCGTGGACCCTGTGTTGGTGAACCAAAGGGAACCAGCCAGTAATGGAGACTCCCCCTTTGGTAGGGAAACATAAGGGAACCCTTGCACAGAGGGCGCCATGGTTCAAGAAACTCCCTGCTTTCCCTTCCTCCCGGACCTACGTGACGCAGCTTCTACCGCTTCTAGACTTCACCTGAATCGCCTGAATCGATGTTGTGCTTCCAGCTACCAGGAAAGGGAAAATAATCAGGGCAAACCACCATGTGACCTCTCGATTTATAATACCCAGTTCGCTTCCATGGTGGTAACTGGAAGCACCGGAATGTGCCATGGAAAATCCAACCTTACCATGGGTTTTCCAACATGCACAGCTGAAAGGACTCAACGACAAACAGCACGACACCCGACTGTCCGATAATGAATTGTTCAGTTGCTTCTCGTTGAGTGCCAGAAGCCAAGAATATTCCGTGCCTGAACCACCAATCCCAAACATCAATGCAAACTGCCAGGAAAGAACTATCTGCTGTCGCCTTTGTCGGTCTTGGATTGGTTGGCTTATGTTTTCCAGCATGCAGAGAGAGGCTTACCGTATTAAGATGATATTTGTCCCCCCCCCAATGCCAATTTCTAGGCTCATCCTCTGATTTGCTTGCCCCTTCCGTCCAAAAGCCCCACCATGAAGCCACCATATGTGGCACCTAAGTTGTCACCTAAGAGTGGATTTGGAACCTTTACTTTGTAGGCTGGAAAAGCAAACAAACCGAAAACATCTTGGGAACACACACACACACACACACATGGCGGGTGCGGCCGGACCTCCCGAGTTCTGCTCACGGAAAACCCCCCACACGTTGGAGGTGTCTTCACAAGCAGCGGGAACACACCGTCCATTCGAACAAGCTATGGCTTGTGCGAAACACGCCGCCGCGTTCCTTCTACCCCCGGCTTCTGGGCCTGAGGGCCAAGCTCCCAGACAAAATCCTGGCAGGCGCCCCTTCCAAAGAGCAAACCAAACCGCCCCAACGTAATAGATGCTTTCGGTGGTTCTAGACATAAAGGCACCCTCATCCTGTGGATGAGAAGGTCCAACCTGTTTAGGAGCTTTCTTGGGATGTTTTATATACCAAATGTCTTGCTTTCCTGCCTCTCCCGCCAAAAAATGGTTCCCCCCCCAAAAAACAAACAAACAAACAAAAGACTGCTGTCCCCTTTCAAGCCATTCCCTCCAAGCACGAAGCTTAAGCTGGGCATCTTCTGCAGCCAGTCTGCGCTGGTGCCCTGCTTGCCCTCCAGGAAAGACCGGGTAAAGCCGGAGTAGAAGACCTCAAGGGGAACTCCGAACCCGTCTTGGGACCCTGGAGATGTTGTGTGGCAGCCCAAACGGGGGATCATCATGCCGATTGAGAGGGGAAAATTGGTGAGTCCATGTTGTTTGTAGGAACTTTAGTGCGCCACCAAACAAACAAGACTGTGAAACTAGCGTGCTTGATCAAACCTCGTTTTCATTTTCCTTCCCATCAGAACTGTAAAGGGAATGCCCCCCAAGAAAAAAGGACCAGCAAAATCCAACCTCCTAAAATCAGTGCCCTACGAATTGCACAGAAGGGAGTGGGTTGGGATCAATGAGCCCAGAGCAAGGTTGAATAAAGCCAAAACAGGCCGAAAGCGGTCATTTTGCAATGGGAGTGGAGGGGTCATGTGCAAAAAAAACCGCTGGTTGCTCATTTTGAGGCGCACCTGTTTATTGGATACTCCCTGCTTCTTGAAACACGGGATACTCTCCCGACGTTCCATGAACCACCAGGCCCAAGCATGGTGCGACTCTGAGGGCCGTGGGGACAAGTTAGCATATCCACACATGTGCTTGCTCAGGAGGTTTTTTAGAAACGAGGGGTTTTTGGGGTGCGTGTCAGTCTGCAAGGCAGCAGCTGGCTTGTTTTTTTTTGGGATAGCGCATCCCAGAGTTCGATAGGCGATTTTTGGGGGACCTCATTCGTTCACTGCCCCTTAGGATGATCGCAACTAAGATTTAGGTGGGCAAACCATGGTGGAAACTCTAACGCTGCATGTAGACCACATGTACTCGTTTGTGGGCCACTGTAGGCAACCGGAGCCCACAAGCCCGACTCTACTACGTCATGATCATATCCAAATATGGGACTGTCTCAAATAATGGAACCCCGAAATGGGTGTTTTTTTCTGGCTTGCCAATCCGAATTGGGGCACCCTCAACAAAGTAACAGGCCCATATCAATATGATCTGTACATGGGTCTGTGCAAAAAAATGTGGATCCCCTTTTCACGTAATGTTTGCACCGGATTAATAAACCTCCTGAAGATTGAGAAGGTTTTTGGGCTCCGAAAAGAAAACCTGGCACAAAAATAGTCTATAGGTCTACTTTAGTATTGGGCAATATTACTATTGAATTGGCTAGAACCTCCAGATGAATTACAAAAGGAGCTTCGGTCCTTGTTTCCATTTGATCTAGTATAATTGCTGGAACTTCCTTTTGAATTTGATTTGAGCTTGCACTTGTTTGATTTAGTATTGTTGGATTTGAGCTTCTATTTATTTAGTATTGGTGGATTTGAATTTCGAAACCAATTGATTTAGTATTATTATTGCTGGAGCTTCTTTTTGAATTTGATTTGAGTACCCAGTTCATTCAGTACTGTTGGGTTTGAGTTTCCATTTGGTTTCGTATTGCTGGAACTTCCTTTTGACTTTGATTTGAGTATCCAGGGAATTAGTATTGTGGGATTTCACATTCCATTTGATTTAATATGGCTACAGCTCAAAATTGGGCTCGGCCTAAATGGCCTAAATTTATACGATGTGAACCCGCACTATTAGCATGGCTTGGGCACCCATGTGAGGTACCTCATGCGGCCTTCTCAAATCATAACTTGATGAAAGGGAATTGAAAAATAATTTACACTTTCAGCAAGCCACACCTTTTTGGATTTCAGGGAGTTCTGGCTGATGATGTTTGTGCTGGCTTGGCAATGCTTCATGGCTGTCTAGTACAAGTGCTAGCAAGCACAAAGCTAGATGCGGAGTTTTGTTGCAGGCCTGAGGGAGGCCAAATTATTACCATGGGAACACATGTTATTGACATGGCCTAGGCACTTATGTGGGGTACCTCATGTGACCTGTTCAACCCATCACTTTTGAAAGGGATTTTATTGAGACATTACACATTCAGAAAGCCCAACATCCGCCGACATTGCTCGGCGTGTCGGACACCTAAGAGAGGCTAGAGGATAACCCCCCCTAACCCCCCCCCCCCCGCCCGACGTCTGATACGGGGGGCCCCCCCGGACAGCGCGGCAATTTGATGACGTTCCACTAAACGTAGTCTTCGGGGAGCCGGTGTCGCAAAACAGGGGTCCCAGGCTCGATTCCCCCTGCCGGCTCTTTGCTGGGTTGGGGTTCCTGCCTCCTTTTTGCCGAAACTGCGAAAACGCAGGAAAACCGTGTTTTTTGCGGGAAATATTGGGGAGGGGAAATGCAAGGAAGTGCAAGGAAATGAGGGGAGGAAATAGGAAGTTGACATGACATGACAGGAAAGCAGCGGGACAT